TCCCCGGTGTTTGGCAGGCTGTGTGCGGCTGCTGCTGTCCCGCGCTGTCTCCGTGCGTCCGTCCTGTGTCTCCGTCCTCTGCCTCCTTGTCTCCATCCTGTGTCTCCTCGTTTCTGTCCTCTGTCTCCGTCTTGTGTCTCCGTGTCTCCATCCTGTCTCCTTGTTTCTGTCCTCTGTCTCCGTCCTCTGCCTCCTTGTCTCCGTGCGTCCGTCATCTGTCTCCGTCCGTCCGTCCTCTGCTTCCTTGTCTCCTTCCTCTGTCTCCGTGTCCTCTCTCTCTGTTCAACCTGGACCAGGAGCTCACGTTGTGTTTCTGTCCTACGTCGTGTGTGTCCGTACTCTGCCTCTTTGGCTCCGTCCTGTGTCTCCTTGTCTCCGTCATCTGTCTCCGTCCGTTCGTCCTCTGTTTCCTTGTCTCCGTCCTGTGTCTCCTTGTCTCCGTCCGTTCGTCCTGTGTCTCCTTGTCTCCGTCCGTTCGTCCTGTGTCTCCTTGTCTCCGTCCTGTGTCTCCTTGTCTCCGTCATCTGTCTCCGTCCGTTCGTCCTCTGTTTCCTTGTCTCCGTCCTGTGTCTCCTTGTCCCCGTCCGTTCGTCCTGTGTCTCCTTGTCTCCATCATGTGTCTCCGTCCGTCCGTCCTCTGCTTCCTTGTCTCCTTCCTCTGTCTCCGTGTCCTCTCTCTCTGTTCAACCTGGACCAGGAGCTCACGTTGACTCGTCACTAATGAATTAAATATTTTAAGGACGGTCCTAAATTCAACCCTGAAGCGCCATTGATAAGGCTGAAGGCTAATGAAAGGTTAAAATCAATCACTAGTCCTTTATTGATCAGTTATAAGCATTAATCAGAACAACTTTTGGGTTGCCAGGTTGTCAAAAATCCTCCAGCAGGACACTTTGTCTTCTTAGCTCCTCAGTTCATCAGCCAGAGAAAACAAAGTGTTGACATTATAAATTTAATGGTGCAACGTGATCTTCTACTTTTTACCAGGACCTGAGTTTTATGGACTGGTGATTTATTTCTAAATGTTCTGTGGACTAAACGAACTGATGTGCACGTCATTACTGTGAAGCCCAGAAATAAATGTCAACTGAGACTGGAAATAAATAAACTAATATGTTATTGACCTGGATATTTCCTAAATGAATATTGAAAAAGCCTGTTTAACGTCCCAAAGTCTTATTGTCCAAACAAAAATCCTTAAATATTCTGTTTATTATAACGTCAGACCCTCACGTTATGAAGCTGGAACCAGTCCTGTATTTGACATGTTTTCTGAAAATAAAATAATTAATGCATTGAGCAAATAGCTGCTGGTTCTTTTTCTCTTGTTTGAATAATTACTGCTGCTTTAATGAATCCTTAAAAATGATTAATTTCAGTAGAACAGCAGAGAATCAGCAAAGTTAGACTGATGCAATATGTTGAAAAGGTGTTGGTGTATAAACAGTTGGTTCACCAACGATTCACATGTAGAAAACTGGACACAAATAACCACATGTCAGTTTTTACACTGAGGGTGATGATGTGAGGACGGCAGGGTGTGTTACGCTAACTCATCGTTACACACTCACGCTGGCAGGACTCGTTATTTAGGGTAAATAGTTTTATTAAATCCTCGGAGCTGATTTGTTTAGTTAGATCGGAAAGAAAAAGGAAATCGGCAGGAAATTTGAAAGCAGAGTAAAGTTTTAGGTCTTATTCACAAATCAGCTTCTACTGTAAATATTTGTTGGCTTTAGAGAATTTCTTTGATAAGGTTCAAGATTTTATTGTCAGTTCACCAAATGTGTAGGACATAGAGAAAATCAAAATACCGTTTCTCTCACCTAGTATTGGGTACCATAACATTTAGGAAGTAAAATAGAGTAAAGTAGAATAAAAACAGAATAAAAACTGGATTGACGTAAATAGGAGAAATCTAAACGCTACAGCCAATAAACTGTGACTCGACATGACGATATCAGGTTGTGACTTTTAATTTTCATAATTTGTTTGCAAAATGACAAAACAAACTAGATTCACTGGGGATTTAAACGATGTGGTCAGTTTGCAGCTGTAATTAACGGATTCTAACAGCTGCATACAGCTGTGTGTGTGATGGGCGTGTGATCTGAAGTCGGACTAATCTGTGTGATCTGAAGTCGGACTAATCGCAGCGTGTGATCTGAAGTCGGACTAATCTGTGTGATCTGAAGTCGGACTAATCACAGCGTGTGATCTGAAGTCGGACTAATCCGTGTGATCTGAAGTCGGACTAATCCGTGTGATCTGAAGTCGGACTAATCCGTGTGATCTGAAGTCGGACTAATCCGTGTGATCTGAAGTCGGACTAATCTGTGCGAACCCTGATTCCCTTTGGTTTCTCTCTGTTCAGCTGCTTTTCTTTCTGGCCTTCAAAATAAAAGCCTTTCTTTAAATCCCACCTTGGTGTTAGATCTTCCACTGATCAGGTTCATTCTGTTGATGCAGTCCATCAATAACTGTCAGTATAGACATGTAGAATCAGTGTGTGCAGGGGATGTCAATCGATCAATCGGTGTATTGAACAGAGGGAGCTCCAGAGAGAGAGAGAGAGAGAGAGAGAGAGAGAGAGAGTGGTGGTGCGAGCAGTATTTAAAGCAGGGGTTGCTGTGTGGTGTCGAGTGTCTGATTGTCGTCATATCACTTCAAAAATAACTTCAGCATGTCCAACGGAAACTCTGAGAGGACAAACACCCGAGTCACCCCCACCCTCGCTACTTAAAAATAACCCAGGGTGGTGGGGGGTTCAAACTGGACTTAGAGGGTCAGGAGCGTGGCGGCTCCCGGCCTCCACTGCTGCTCCGATAACCTGGATTCAGCTGTCTGTGTGCACTCAGATGACTCTGGACCCGTCTTCGTGTGTCCTCCAGACCGTGGCTCGAGGACCTGAGACGGCGATGGGCGGGGAGACGTGTTCTCACAAGCTGGGATCCACCAGTCACCTCCGACTTCTCCTCTACATCCTGATCCCCACTGTGACGCTGCTGGCCGCCCTGCTGCTGCTCATCCTGGCCCTCACCGGTATAGAAACTCTCTCTCTCACACACACACACACACACACACACACACACACACACACACACACACACCCCTTGTGTGTGACTCATCAGGACCTCACCTCAGTTATTAACCTGTTTTCAGTCCTTCCGCCACAGTTTAGGCTTGTTTTTGTGGATATGACTAGAGAGAGGAGAACGTCAGTCATCCAGGAGCTTAAGAACACGTCTGTGTCCGTGATGTACACTCACTGGCCACTTTATTAGGTACACCTGTGTGCACTTCAGTGCAACACTTCTGCCTTAACATCTGTGTTTATGAAGCTCAACTTGTTTTTGGTCATAAGTTCAGTTGTGTTTATCACTGAGGTGACAGTTAAAGGTGGTGTTGTACTGGACCTCATTATATTCAGAGGTGTCGCTATGGTTTTGTCCTCCCCAGCTACAGACATGAGGGGGTCAGAATATTAGGAACCTCAGTAATAAACAACTGAATTTGTACATTTAAGACAGGATCACTAAACACTGACCCATTCTGAGTCAGTGTCTGTTCACCTGGACCCACACAGTTGTCCAGGTGTACCTAATAAAGTGGCCGATCAGTGTATGGTTAATGTTAATGTGTTTCAGTAGGTTTCTTATCCTTTGTCTGGGAAATAGTCTCTGATCTGTGGAACTACAGCTCCCATCATGCTTTGGAGGATGTAAACAGTATATGGGTTAAAACTTGAGCCCTGTTTTGTTTGGTTTGGCCTGTATCAGTCCACACGTGGTCACAGTGTCCCTACTACCAGCAGCAGACTGAGCAGTGTCCCCGTGGACATGCACGTGTCCCTGGATCACTGTGAGGCTGAAGGGAACCTAGGAGGGTTCTCAGGCAGGTTCTGCAGCGTCCTCTCCTCTGGTTTCTAGGTGGGTTTATGGAGGCTTGTTCTGGAGGGACATGGGAGATGATGACGCCCTCAGGAAGTGGACATCACACTGAATCAAAGACGGTGTGTCTTGTGTCTGTGGGTTCAGATTTGACCGAGTTAGGACTCGGAGAAACAGTGTGATTGACGTTTGGAGCGTTTTTAGTCTTTGGGCTAAACTAATGGTCTCATATTGACAGTAGAGACGTGAGGGTGGTGTTAGGGAGGTGAAAGGAAGGAGTAACAGGAGTAGTAAGGAAGGAAAGATGGAAGGAAAGAAGGGGAGGAAAGAAGAGAAGAAAGGATGGAAGAGGAAAAGAGCTGAAAGCGGGATGTGTAAGAACTGATGGAAGGAAGGAGAGGAGTCGAAGGAGAGACATGAAGGCTGGAGGACGATGGTGTGTGGGAGTGTAACCGACACTGTGTGTGTGGTGCTGTGGTTGCCGTGACAACAGGGACTCCCTCAGCCAATCAAAAAAAGGATTACTGGTTGAAAGAATGTCAAATATTTACACAGGTAGTAAAACGGAGCAGCGTCTGTGCGAACAGACCTCCCTGCTCCTCTTTTCCCTCCTTTCTCCTTGTCTTCTCTCCGTCCTCCTGTCCTTCGCCTCCTCATCTTTTCAAGTCTTTCTCCTTCATCCCTTCTTTCTCATTGTCGGTGTTCCTTCTCACTTCCTTTGCCACATATTCTGTCACTTTTCTCTTCCTCTCTTTGTTTTCCTCCTCTTCCTCTTCAGCTTTCTTGTCTCCACCTTTAGTTCCCATCTCTTTTTCTTTTCCCCCATTTCTTTTTCTTTGGTTTTCTTTCTCTTTTCTTTCTTGGCCTTTTATTTTCTCTTATTGTTCCATTTTCTTTTCTTCCTTCCTTCCTTTGTTCTGCAGTAAAGTCGGAACAAAAACATCCAAAAGAACAAATGTTTATTTACGACCTGACACAATGAGCAAAGCAGGTTTTTCTCTTTCACACAGTCTGAGCTGCTCTTTCATATCTTCTTTGTCTGCAGCTGTTTTCTCTTGTTTCGGCTCATTACACACACACACACACACACACACACACGGCCTTATTGCAGTGTCTCTCCTCACCATTAAACATCTAATGCTGATGTTTCCTCCCCCTCCTCCCTCCATGATCATGGTTATCGTCTTCGCTGCTGAGCGTCATCACAGAACCAGCGTGAGTCTCCGTGAATAGAGTCGAGGCCGTGGCGTTACCATGGTGAACCACAGTCTCGAAGCGTCCTCACGTCTTTGAGAAGTAATGATTCACCATCATGACGCCGTGTTTCCAGGTTACAGACGTGCCTTCATATCAGCAACATATGAGCGAACTTTCACATCTGTGGTAGAGACTCAGTCAGATGAGAAGAGCTGCTGGTGTTTTATACACACACATACAAATCCATACACCTGTCGGCGTCACACTTCACTCGGTTACTAGAAAGAACTGTCTGCAGACTTCCAGCCACGTGATTGGCTGAGAGCGTACCTGTGTGCCCTTGTCACAGCCACGCTGCGTTTGTCTGTGTGTGTTTCCCTTCAGGCATATTTGGCAACAGCCTCTTGGTCTTCAGGCCTATCGCTGACCGCAATCTTGGTTACCATGGCAACAGCACAACCCCCTCCCTCGCCTTTGAGGTGGAGATCGTCACGTCTTCGCTACAAAACCGCAGCGACAGTGGCATCTCCTACCGTGGCGTGAGCACACCTGCTGCTACCACCAGTGCTCCTACAGCGTCCTCCTCTCAGGCCACGCCCACCCAGCCATACACAGAGCTTCCTGATTGGCTGACCTCTGTGGCATCACTGAGCAGCACCACCTGGCCGTTCAGCACCATACCTACACCTGACACAGGTAAGCACAGAGAGCGTGGTATTCAGTGTGACAGTGAAGATAAGAGAGGGGAGGCAGCAGAGCTCATGGGAAATGTGGTTTTTATTTTGGAGGACAGAGGTGCACAGGATGGCAGATGGTGGACCCTGCACACTGGCCTTTACTCCCACAGCGTACTCCACCCAGACCTGCAGGATGGCTTGTCATGCTGCTGGTGCATCCTTTAAAAAACTACAACTCCCTCAGTCCTCTGTAGTCTCTGTCCTTCCTGTGGTGTCCTTTTCTGTCACACCCTAAAATCTTATTACACTCCATTAGTGCAGAGTGGACGAGTAGACACCAGAGAGGGAGGCGACGGGCCTCTGAGCTGAATTCAGATCTACTGTCCTCTACTCTCCTCTACTGACCTGGCCGACTGTGTGCGAGATGATAAATGGCTCATTCCGTTTGTTTTAAAATTCCCCTTGTCTCTGCTCCTCCGCTGCCCTTCAGTCTCTCTCTCTATTAATGTGAAGTTGAGGTGAATACAAATGAGCTTCAGCCTGTCCTGTCCTCTGATTGGACGCCAGGCGGTCACCAGACTACCTGGACCTCAGCTGCTCAGTGTCGGGGAGCTAGTCGAGGCCTGTTGTAGCGCCATGATGTTCTCCCTCACTGTGAACGAGCTGCAGTCGAGTGGAAGCCAAACATGACCAAACACTCACATGTCTTTGCTCTTTCTGTACGTGTGGTACGTGCTCACTAGGCGTGGTGCTGGTAGTCTGGCTCCTCCCCCAGTGTCCGCTCTGTTGGCCTGAGCCTCAGTAAACAGTGAGGGATGACAAGGTGTGTCTCTGCAGGTAGCTGTCAGCTGATCGCGGAGCCTCAGTGTCACATGTTGCCCTACAATCAGACATGGCTGTCCTCGTCCGCCACCGTGGTGAAGAGCTCAGAGGTCGACATGTTGCTAAGGTAACCGCATCCAAGGACACGGTCTTTACATTCCCCAGCTGTGTGTTGTTCTGTTGCACTGTGGGAACTCGCCATCCTCTCACATGTTTCAGGGTTCAGGTGACGGTTGGGTTGAGAACCTGATGGTTGAGGTTGGGAGATGCGTTATGTTGGCGTGGCCCTCACTGTGTGTGTGTGTGTGTGTGTGTGTGTGTGTGTGTCTCCAAACTGTCCAGACTAAGAATAACACACTCTGAAATTAGAGCGCACACACCAGCTCAGCGTCAGTGGCTTCAACTCTGCCTGACCTCTCACAGGAGGATTATGGGTATCTGTGTCTTATTGTGGCATCCAACACTTACTTTCTGCTGTGTGTGTGTGTGTGTGTGTGCGTACATGCGCAGACGGGTGGTGCTGCCCTGTGTGTCGTTCTGCCAGGCAGCGAGGGAAGGCTGCGAACCCGTCCTCCAGATGTTCAACGCCTCCTGGCCCGACTTCCTGCGCTGCTCACAGTTCAGCAATGTCACCTCCGCTTTGTCATCGCCATCATCGCCCACAGCAACAGCAGGCCCCGCCCCTTCCACCTGCTACATGCCGCGACAGATCAAAGGGAAGCCCTGTGAGTACACACACAAACATGTTGCTGTTTTTAACTCGATCAGATGATACGATGACATCACTGCTGGACCCTCCTTCTGATTGGTCAACAGCTGTGTGCGGTGGGAAGGACCACTTCCTGTGCACAACGGGGATTTGCATCCCCCAGAAACTGGTGTGTAACGGTTACAACGACTGTGACGACTGGAGCGACGAAACGCACTGCGGTAAACACACACACACACACACACACACACATGCTCTGTAGTAGGGGGAGTTTTCCACCTGTTGCTGTGGTGATGTGTTAGCGGGTGATTGGAGGACAGAGATGTTGTCGTCATGGCAACATAAGGAGGCTATAGGCTGAGACCTCTGGAATGTAAAAGCACAGAGAGAGTCTGTCTCTCACCCTGTTTGGCCTCCACCCTCTGTTGACAAGAGGTCGACCTCAACGCCATAAAAGTCAGAGACCAGAGCAACTTGACGAGGAAGAATGAGAGAAACACGACTAGATACAATCACACGAAACAAGATGTGGAATGAAAAATAGCCAGGATGAAACCTTATTAGAACAATAAACTAAACACAAGACATTATGGGAATTACAGCCAAATGAAATCCAAATGTAGACAGAGAGAAAACAAGTGAGATCTATTAAATAAGTTTTAAAAAAGCTGCAAAAGAAAAGAGAAAACTGCACAAAAGTCAAAGTACAAATGAGAGAAGTGAGTCAAGTTAAATGGTTTTAAAAGACCAAATGAGAAAAACGAGGAATCAAATGAGATGAAATGAGAAACTGGAAGTCAAAATCAGGACAAAGGGAATGAAAATATGAATGAATGATGAAAATAATGGGACGAAGTCGTGTCTAATGAGAAGGAACTGGAAAGTAACTGGAGTAATGAAACGGACCGGAAGCATGAGAAGAGCGAAGGTGAGCACAGGAAGTAAAAGGAGCAATGAAACGGACCAGAAGCATGAAAAGAGCGAAGGTGAGCACAGGAAGTAAAACCTGAAGTAGACGACACAAAGACGAGGAGACAGGACGACATAACACCTCCCTCTCTCTCCCCCTCCCTCCCTCTCTCTCCCCCCAGTGTGTTCAGACTCAGAGTTTCGGTGTAACACAGGTCGGTGTCTCTCGCCCGCTCTGGTGTGTGATGGTTACGACGACTGTGGAGACCTGAGTGACGAGCTCAGCTGTGGTGAGACAGCACACACACACACACACACACACACACACACACAGTATCTTGTAGTGCTGGTTCTTTGCGTCTCAGCTGTTGATCAGCTTGAAATGACTTTTATTTTGGTGAACAGACTGAAACAAGCAGCACTGGAGCATCGTGTCCTGCTGGTTCGTTACCAGAGCAACAGCTAACGTGTGTTTATCGTCAAGTGAAGCTGTTGTCATCTGCCTTAGTGCAGAGATGGGGGGGGGCGGGAACAGCTGTTCCACACTGGTTCATGCACATTTTATACCACCAGTGTCTGACATGACGGTGTGCACGACAGGAAATGATCATGGTTGTCAGTTTAGCATAAGATGCTAATATAGCACCAGCTTTACTGATGATGTGACACTGATAATACTGTTTATTACATACTCTACTGTATTGGTAGATTGTGCTCTGTATTTACACCCTGACGTGCACGTCGCCTCATGCTTCCTGTTCCGTACTGTGTTTATGGATCATGTTGCTCTGTGTGTGATGTTTTCTGACCATAACTATTGTCGTGTGTCGTCAGTGTGCGATCTGGCTCGGGAACATCGATGCGGTGACGGTCGCTGTGTGTCCAGAGACTGGCTGTGTGACGGAGACCACGACTGTTTGGACAAGAGCGACGAGCTCAACTGCTGTGAGTTACTGTGAAGAGCAGCGCTCAGATGGCAGCTGGCGGTTTGTGTCTGTAACTGTTTCTGCCGACTTCCTTCTCCAGCAGCGTTTTAGCTGAACATTTATGGTAAGTGAGGAATAACCTCGTCAAATAACTCATGACCAGGGTGCAGCTGCCTTCAGCGGACGGCAGGACACTATTTAAAACATTTTGTATGAAGCTGCAACTTGAGTTCAACTCAGTTGTGTTGTTTCCACCTCAGAGACGGAGTGTGAAGATGCGACTGATGGTTTATGGATCTGAGGTGAACTGTTGTGTTCCTGATGACTGTGTCCACATTAAAGCTGAACACCTGTTTGTTATACGTAAATGTGTGTGTGTGTGTGCAGCGTGTAAGAGTCAGGGTCTGCTGGAGTGCAGGAACGGTCAGTGTGTTCCTTCGGCGTTTCGCTGCGACGGCGAGGACGACTGTAAGGACGGCAGTGACGAGGAGCACTGCAGCAGAGAGCAGAGTGAGACTCCCATCTGCTTCACACGTCTCACTCCTGTGTCCGCCGCCTCCTCCTCTGACTCTGTGTACTTGTCTGTGTGGTTTCCAGCTCAGGGGGTGTGTGTTCCCGGGCAGCCCAGCTGTATCTCCGCCTCCTGTCCGTCAGCGTGTGTGGGGGGCAGCACCGCCTGCGACCCCCGGAACAGCAACAGCAGCTGCAGTGAGTCCTCACTCTGCAGGAACATGTGACACCGGCACAGCTGCTACAGTCGACGTGTACAGCTCTCAGCCTGCACGAGTACTAAAACTACAATGGAACAGTACTGTGTTACCAACAAAAGTCCTACGTTACCAACAAAGGTCCTGCGTTACCAACAAAAGTACTGTTACCAACAAAAGTCCTGCGTTACCAACAAAAGTACTGCGTTGCCAACAGAAGTTCTGCGTTACCAACAAAAGCCCTACGTTACCAACAAAAGTACTGCGTTACCAACAAAAGTACTACGTTACCAACAAAAGCCCTACGTTACCAACAAAAGTACTGCGTTACCAACAAAAGCCCTACGTTACCAACAAAAGTACTGCGTTACCAACAAAAGCCCTACGTTACCAACAAAAGTACTGCGTTACCAACAAAAGTACTACGTTACCAACAAAAGCCCTACGTTACCAACAAAAGTACTGCGTTACCAACAAAAGTACTGCGTTGCCAACAAAAGTCCTACGTTACCAACAAAAAGTACTGTTACCAACAAAAGTCCTGCGTTACCAACAAAAGTACTGCATTCAGAGCCAGTGAGACCGAACGCAGCTATGAAAGTATAATTCAGCAGAACGTGCTTTAACAGTTCTGTTCTGCGTGGTGATGAAAGCAGTATCTGATGATCGGTTAACGTGGGCTTAGTTCACACTACGTTACGTCCTGCTCCGTACTTTAATCTGCAACCAACTGTCGTAGTTTACAGGCCAAATACTAAAATACTGTGTGGATTCACTGATGGACTAAAGTTTGTCTTCTATAAACAGAATCTGTTCTGGAACCAGTGACTTCAGTCACATAAATGTAGTGGATCAGAAAACTAAAGTAGCACACAGCAGAAATACTCCAGTGAAGTACAGGTACTTCAAAGTGACACCTTAGTGCAGTACTTCAGTAAGTGTACATAGTTAAGGTTTGACCACAGCTTTACAGTACAGTCAGTATCTGTGTATGATGTGAAACTGTAACACAGACAGAAACACTAGTTAACAGGAGAGGTCCTGGTCCTGGTCCTGGTCCTGGTCCTGGTCCCAGTCCTGACTCTGTCCCTCTGTGTTCCAGCTCGCTGTGAGCCAATCAGCTTGGAGCTGTGCATGAACCTGCCCTACAACCTGACCAGATACCCCAACTACCTGGGCCACCAGTCCCAGAGGGAGAGCTCCGTGTCCTGGGAGTCCTCCCTGTTCCCCGCCCTGGTCCAGACCGGCTGCTACCAGTACCTCATGTTCTACGCCTGCACGCTGCTGGTGCCCAAGTGTGACCCGGTTAGCCTACAGAGGGTCCCGCCCTGCAGGTCGCTGTGCCGTACCGCGAAGGAGAAATGTGAGTCGGTGCTCGGCATCGTGGGATTGCAGTGGCCCGATGATTCGGACTGCAGTCAGTTTCCAGAGGAGGGAGGAAACGCCACCTGCCTGCTGCCAGAGCCCGGCGTCGACGGTACCGGCCCAGTTTGTCCTCATGATGATGCTGAACGTCACATCCTCATGTAAACTCAGATTGTTTCCTTGTTGTTGTTTGTTTTCTGGTGCGTTGCCATGGCGACAGAGTGCTCCCCCAGCCACTTCAAGTGTGGGTCGGGCCGCTGCGTCCTGGCTTCCAGGCGCTGTGACGGACACCTGGACTGTGACGACAACAGTGACGAGGACGACTGTGGTGAGGCGCTCATTAGTCTCCTGGTAGAAGCTCTGTTAGTCCTGTAGTATGAGAAGCTCACGACCACATCCTGGTCCATGTCTGTGCTGCTGCCTCCCTCTCTCTGACAGGCTGTTCTGAGCGCGCTCTGTGGGAGTGTCCCGGCAGCAAGGTGTGCATCAAAGCCAGTATGATCTGTGATGGATTCCCAGACTGCCCCCTGCTGGTGGACGAGGCCAACTGCTGTGAGACTGTTTTCAGTGGTTTTGTTTAGCAGTGTGCAGGGAACGAGCCTGTTGCATCACTTAGAGTTCATCAGAGGTCATGAACCTGTTGACAGTAACGTTTCTTAATAATTCCTCAGGTGTTTGTGGGGGAGACGCTAAATGGTGTCGTCAGTGTTTCTCAGTGTTTCCTGTCGTGTGCAGGGACAGCGAGCCTGTAGAATACTGTAACGTTTTTCTCAGTGGTGTAGGGACGATGGGCTCTCGTCTGTGTTAATGATGATGCCTGTGCACGTGTCCTCAGCGGTGTGCAGGGACAACGAGCTGTCCTGTAACAACCACCAGTGTGTTCATCGCACTCTGTGGTGTGACGGGAAGAGGCACTGCTCCGACAGCTCTGACGAGTGGAACTGTGGTACGACACACACCTGTGACGTTTCCAGCAGTGCTTCAGTTTATTTCAGTGATTTAGTGAAAGTGTTTCCTGATATTTAATAAAAGTACTGATTGTACGTGTCCTGTGTTTGTGACACAGTTTATTAGCCGTGAAACGTTAGTCAGTGCTCGTAGACACAGACGCTGTATCCAGCATGTTTATACAGGTTCTGTATCAATCTGTTCTCCCTACAGTGTCTCTGGCCGATCGATCGGACTCTGTACTGACGGTGTTCAGGACGGCAGCAGAGTACCAGGTCTGTGCAGACGAGTGGAACCACGAGCTGAGCCACCTGACCTGCAGCCAGCTGGGCCTAGGGTAAGGTTAGTAACACTCACGCAGCACAGACACGACTATGCACACGTGTGACAGACTAAATATACTGTGGTGTGTTTCCCTGCAGGGTCCCCTCCTCGGTCTCCATGGTTCCGGACCAGCCTGGAGTCCCGGGCCGCCGCCGCTGGTTACACGTCCACCCTGAGTGGAACCTGAGGAATGGTTCTGCTCTGCAGGCCCGGCTGGAGAAGAGAGGGTAACACAACCCAGCCAGAACCACACACAGGCACAAAAGGACTAGAAACAGTGTAGTCACTGATGTTGTTTTTCTGAGTGCTGTGCTCAGTCTCTCGCTGCCTGTGTGTCTGCAGCCACGCGTGTCATTCCAGGAGGAGAGTGTCAGTCCAGTGCAGCAGAGAAGGTAAAGCTGGCTCCTCCTCTACACCACAGCACTTCAGCTCCTGCCTTTTAACTGTGGTTCTATCTTTATCAGTTTAATTATGTTTTTAGACTCTGTCCATTCATCTAAAATAAGGCTGATGTTAATGGTTATGTTCATTTAGCAGCACGGTGACTTTATATCAGATCTGTTTATGTCCTGAGATGTGAGTGGTGACCACAGACGTGTTGTGATGGAGGTTCAGGTTGTTCAAATGAAGCCTGTTCATAAACGTGGGAACAACATCACCTTGGTTTAGTCTGATCTGACCCTGAACCTGTGAACTGACTCGTTAACCTTCGTCAACATCACCTTGGTTTAGTCTGATCAGACCCTGAACCTGTGAACTGACTCGTTAACCTTCGTCAACATCACCTTGGTTTAGTCTGATCAGACCCTGAACCTGTGAACTGACTCGTTAACCTTCGTCAACATCACCTTGGTTTAGTCTGATCAGACCCTGAACCTGTGAACTGACTCGTTAACCTTCATCAACAGTAGACGCAGGCTGAGGCTGTTCTCTCTCTGTCTCTCTGACAGAGTGCGGTCTCCGTCCAGCCGTGGGCATCTACCCCCACAGGAAGAAGAGGATTCTGGGAGGGCGGGTGTCCCGGCGGGGGGCGTGGCCATGGCAGTGCTCGCTGCAGAGCGGTCAGAGCGGACACGTGTGCGGTTGCGTCCTCATCGCTCGGAGGTGGGCCCTGACTGTTGCACACTGCTTCGAGGGGTGAGATGGGGGAGACGGAGGTGAGGGTGGGGGTGTCAGAGTGTGAGATTGTAACGCTGAGGACCGATGTGTGTCTGCACCAGGAGAGAGAGTGCCGACCTGTGGAGGGTGGTGCTGGGCCTGAACAACCTGGACCACCCAGGGGTCCACAGTCAGAGCCGAGGGGTGCGCTCCATCATCGTACACCCACGCTACAACCGGGCGGTGGTGGACTATGACATCAGCGTGGTACAGCTGGACTCTGAGGTCAGAGGGGGTTGATGGGGAGTCGTGATTATCAGCAGTGACAGGTCGGTGCTGATGAGATGTGATGCTGTGTTTGCAGGTGGAGGAGACGGCGCTGGTCAGGCCGGTGTGTCTGCCTCAGCCCGGCCAGCTTCCTTCACCAGACTCCTACTGCTACATCACCGGCTGGGGTCACATGGGCAACAGGAGTGAGTCCACTCGCTTACCTACACCTGCCTCTGGTGGGTCGGACAGACATTTTAATATTTGTAGCGAGCGCAACATGATGTTGGACCGCCGTTACCTTCTGGTTCTGTACAGCTCGTTTAAACATGTATTCCCAGTGGCTGTTAAGTATTAATGTCCCCCTCAGATGTGACACCTGCAGCCGGGACCGGCCTGAATCTTAGCCCTGTTGCTCCTTTTACCTCCTCTCTTCTTTGCACCGTTCTCCGACTGACAGCAAACACACCTGGTCCCTGAGACCTGAAGTGGGTTCTGTATCGTGTCACCGTAGCGATTGTGTTGATTCCATCACTGTCATGTCAGGGTGTTCGTCATATTATCTACACTGAAAGGCTGTGTTTGATTGTGTTATGAGCCTTAACAGAGTGGAGCAGCTAAATAATAGACTGATCCTCTGTGTGTGTGTGTGTGTGTGTGTGTGTGTGTGTGTGTGTGTGTGTGTGTGTGCGCAGTGCCCTTACACGTGCAGGAGCGCGAGGTTCGTCGGGTTTAAGTTGTATAGCACCTGTCGCACCAGGTCATTTGATTCAAAGTGCTTTATCGATGACAAGCTGATCAGCAGTAAGTGCAAAATGAGACTAATGTAAAACAAAACCTGGTAAAACTGATGATGGACAGCAGCGTTTTAAAACGGTACAATAAGGAATAGATGATGATAAATGGCAGTACGATGTTCTAACGCGTAGCCAGGCTGAGTCACGGTTTACGTTTTAAGACCATCAACACTTTGAGCTGCTTTGGAACGGAGGATTTATGCTTCTGCAGAGATGCACGTGAACGTCTGCACAGACCTAAAGACAGAAGGGTGTTATGGGTAACCACAGGTTGCACACCTCCCAAATCTCATCAACACATTGTGCAGACCTGTTGTCAAACATGCTGATTGGTTGATGCAGCTTCATATTGGAAGGCCAGTTCAAAACGGAAAGGAAGATGAAGCAACTGGAGGAGCGGTGAGCTCTGCAGATGAGGTTAGGGAACCTGGTTCCTCTTCAGGGCAGATTACTGTCTGTGTGCCAGTTGTCTCCTCCTCCTCGCCAGTGACTCGCTGCAATAACGTGTTTCCACTTCCTCCTGTTGTGCAGTAAAAGCATTGTAAATAACTCTGTGTTTCATGTGCGTTGGCTCACGTGCAGTTGGGAGAAGCGTAAACCTGGCTATTGTAAATAACTCAGTGCAGTTGGGAGAAGCGTAAACCTGGCCTACGCTGTCTAATATTGCCCTCATGTCCTCTAGCACCTGGTCAATGGACAGGCAGACTTCCCTGAAACCCGTTGGTTTTTATTTGTTAAAAAGTTCATCAGTGATAAAATGATCTTTTCCAATAATAATAAACATCAGTTGCAGACCTCAGTACAACTTTGTGTACAACTTTGGATTGTTACTGATCTCTGACCCAAATGTTCTACCAGTGCTGCTGTGGCTAATGTGTGTGTGCGTGTGTGTGTGTTTAGGGCGACAGCGGCGGCCCTCTGGTCTGTGAGGAGGTCGGAGGTCACTGGACGTTGTTTGGCCTGACGTCGTGGGGCAGCGTGTGCTTCAGTAAAGTGCTCGGACCTGGAGTTTACAGCAACGTGACGCACTTCACCCCCTGGATCCAGCAGCAGATCTACATCCACACGTACCTGACCGACTGACACGCACCGACACACTCGCTTTCATTCCAGGAGGAAGTGATGTCATTGTCAATCACACACCTGCGATTCCTCTACCTGTGCCTATATCTAGACTGATGGACTCCAGATGCCAACCGCTGGACCAGCATCAGTACAGACTAGTAGATGCTAAGTAGTTAGCTGGTAGTTAGCTGCTGTTGTTCACACATAAACATCACATTTGTTCTATTAAGTATTCACTTAATGATAAGTTCTTACTTTGATCGCTGTCCTTAAGCTCCTGTCAATGTTTAAGAGTTGGTTTGAGTGTAAACCAGAATAACTACAGCTGCCACATAAATGTACAGCTCACTTCATAAACCCTGACTAATGGATTTCATAGTAAACCGTTTCAGTGCCACTAACTGAACTTAACATTTTTATGGATGGCTTTTGCTTCTATAAACAGATTTTCCTGATTTGAAAAGTTAGCATTTCTTGTTTAGTGGCAGCAGTAACTCCTGGAACAGAACTTTCTGATGTTCTTCATCATTTTTATAAACAGAGCTTCAGTTTATTGTTGCGTTAACACACCAGTCATCTGCTTCCATTAATGATCATAAACACTTCGTTAGGTTCAGATGTTCAGCGCTGAATTTCTAAAAGCTGCTAGCTCAACCAGACCAGCTGAGCACTCGACTTCCCACAATGCTTCACTCTATAGTGCCTGTATTTAAATTTAGCTGTAAAAACTATTTTGTTACTGTACAGTGTCGTACTGTGTGAGTGAGAGACAATGACAGAGGTTTTCTGTTGCTTCTTAACACACTAGTTTGACACATTAGTCACATTGAGCCACCCAACACATTTATCTTGTGCTGCTCAGTCTTCACCCAAAGTCACCTTTCAAATAGTCCTAACATGAGGACACACAGTGACACTTTCAGCCACTTCAAGGACACTTACCTGTGTTATCAGTGTACAGACGGTTGATTCCATGGTTCATAACAGACTGTGGTGTAGAGAACAGGAAGCTGTCATCACACCGTGTTGAATTTTGGAAGCTCACCTCATTAACCATCATAGAGATGTACACTACATGCATCTATAAGTTAATTTAAATAAGTTAACACCGCCCCATGTAGCTACATACAGCAGCAGATGCTTCAACTACGTCCAAATGTCCACTCTACTGTTCAGTTTGATCATCTGCAGTGTTTGTGTTATCTTCTGACAGCTGCTAGTTAGCGTTAGCTCTCGAACCGAGAGCTGAGATCAGGGTGCAGAGTCATTTTTCAGTCTGTGGCTCCCATCGACAGGATCTCTGGGTCCCCTAGGAGTCAGCTACAGTCAGCTGAGGTTATCCATTCTGAATTACCACTGTCAGGAAAGTGAGGTCTAAACAATTTAGCCAAACAAAACAAGAAGGTGTGTCCCCGTCCCAACATTCAACACAGTGTGATGTACCTTCACCTTCTCTATTGTTGTTTAATGATGTATTTGTTGTCACCTCTAACTCCTCCTGTTGATGCACATAAGTAGAGGCTGCTGTATAAACAGACAGCATAGTACAAAAAGCAGTAATAATTAAAAATGTCTTGGTAGGAGACGTTAGAACAGACACTACATTATGAACCTGGACGTGTTTGTCCATGTGAGTGGTTAATGGGGGGATTAAAACGGTGTTACCACCTTTTATCACTGACTTTAAACGTTAGCTGATGTTAACTGTGAGATGCACCAGCTTTAGTCCTTCTTTTACAAACTTTAGATTTAAATGTTTCTGAGCAGGAGTCGTCCAACAGATTGCCGGCTGTGTCCTCCATGCTGAGCTGTGAGACACATCCAGAACATTCCACGTGATGGTTTTTGGTTTTAAGAGTATTTTTCTACAGCTTTTTGTACGTCATGCTGATCACACAGGACTGTTGGTGTGTGTGAACCCTGTGTTTGATGTCCTGGTTTAGCTTTATCACGACGATGACGATGATGATGATGAAGTGTTATTGTTTGACATGGTTTTAAAAGTTTTATTAACAGACTGTAGCTTCAGTTTTCTGTACAGTCGACCTTTGGTTTGTATCACTGTGCATCCCACCAATAAAACTGTGCACACTCTCCCGTGCGTCTGACTCAGTGTGTGCAGACTAGTCACTGGACTTTCAGCCTGTTTCCACTTCCTCTGCTCCAGAAATAAGGTTTTAGCTTCTGGTTTATGTCTGGAGGCCCAGGCAGCCTGCAGGGCCACCACGTCTGAGAGGGGCTCGGCCATTACATCACTGGTCACCATGTCATGTGATCCCCCACCACCATAAAACAGACAAAATGTTTAGTTTGTCTTTAAGTGTTGAGGCGGTGTTTGTCCAATAACCTGCCCACCCTGAGTTAGAGCAGGTATTTACTGTTATTTCACATTAGGACATTTAAAGTTTGGGGTTAATTTATCACAGTGAATAAAATGATCATTGATTTGACTTTAAATGTGTGTTGGCACGTTTCTACCATCTGTGGCGGCGTGTGTGTGTGTGTGTGCTGCTGAGGGGAGGTGGCAGCCGGGACCCACCGGTTGTTCCCAGAGGACGGGCACTGTTCAGCCTGTGAGACGCCACAGGACGCGCTGTCCGAGGTGTGTGAACGTCAGGTGTTGGGGTGAAACGCTGCTGTCACCCTCCACATGTGCGACACGCGGACACACACCTGCTATTATGTGGATGCCAGTGAGACGTGTGCGCGTCCTGCAGCCTGGTATTAAGGCCGCTGACGGTGTGAAAGCCACCCGTGTCCCTATAATGCCAGGCTTTACAACCAGTGTGTGTCTGTCATCTGGCAGAGCGACAAACACAACAGGGCTTAAACCACCTATTATTAACACTAGCAGACACACAAACACACCCCTGGTCTCAGCTGGTCGGTGACTAAGTTCAGTTGGCGTTTCCTCTTTGTTCCAGTCACAGATCTGCACCAGCCAAGGTAAGACCGGACCACACGCACTGTGTGTGTGGTGATTTGTCGCTGTCATTCACTGAGCTGGGATTGTAAACTCGTCCTTTGTGAGCAGGTAGAAGATTAATGACCAATATCTGATTTGTTAGAACTGTAAATAATGTTGGTTCGTGCTGTTCAAAGTTTGAAATGACTTCAAAATCCTCCTTCCTGCGTGCACGCTGCGGTGGCACTGGGTTTGAACAGGTCTATGTTCCCAGAGGTTTCCTGAGTGTGTAAACACCAGGGTCTGAACTGAAACTGGTTTCACACCAAGTGCAGAAATGCTTCAATTAAAACCCAAGAAAATGATTCATAGTTAGTTGGAAACTTTATTTTCCACGTTTGTTGAATTGAGCTTTTTGTAGAAAATGTTCAGCCATGTTTTATTTCACAGGTTATTCATGTTTTCCGAGGAGCTGGGACTTGGTACCAGTCTATGGAGACCAGGGACAGTGGACTCCCAGTGTGTCCATAGTGCAGGCAATGAAACGTAAAGTGACATGTGCTTTGTTTACAGGGGATTCTGGGTAGTTTCCAGCTTGGTAATAAGCTGGTCAGACTTAATTTTATGGGCTGTGATTTAGTTACTTCCTGGGGGAAACTCGTTTGGTATCGGTGAGAGAGGAAAACGAGCTGCTGTGGTCAGAGACTCCCTGCTGCTGGTGTGTCTGCAGGAGCTGATGGCTGAGGTCCCACCACTCCACAGGTCTTTCCCAAGGTCCCTCTGGGTCTCAGGGTTATAGCTGAAGTCAGAAACATGTCCTCACAAGTACAAGTGTGTGTTTCAGATGATGGACGAGGAGGCTACTAAGCGCTACTGTTACGGGCGGAGGCCTCCGGAGGTAGGAGCCAGAGACGTCCAGGTGGAGAGAGAGGTCGCCATCCTGCCACGGAGGAGGACGGATGACCAACAGGACAGCAGTGCGTCAGCAGAGGTGAGCTGTCAGCAACAACACGCACAAAACAACTACCGACAGAAAGTGTTGTTGGTTCAACTCACCACTAAGGATCCAAATGATAAACAGCACAACATTGACAGATTCAGGCCAAAGGTTCGCGGACAGCTGAGCGTTACACTGGTCTGGTTTCCTCCGGTTCGTTTCCAGCTGGTGTGTGTGAGCAAACCAGTGTCAGTGTTTCAGGTTTCCGTCGCGACCAAATATATTTAGTGTGCAACTGTAAAGCAGGTTATTGTTTCCAGCTGGTGTGTGTTGAGCAAACCAGTGTCAGTGTTTCAGGAAGCCTGTTCACGAGAAGGCCTGATGGTGCAAAGGGTAAAGGTTAGTCGCTTTATTCTGGTCAGTTATTCATTTCTGGAGTAACTTGAGCAACAGGAAGTACATCGTTGCCATGTTGGCACCGTTAACAATAGCTGAGCCAGGGCTCCAGACTGCGCGCGACCCGTCGCGACCAAATATATTTAGTGTGCAACTGTAAAGCAGGTTATGCACGAAGGACTGTTCTCACTGTAGAAACAGTGGAGAGACATACAGTCTCCACGATACTGTCGTCACAGTGTTTACCTGCAGGTCTGTTACCGGCCCGCGTCACCAGACGTCCAATCTATCACACGTGTCCATCCACACTGACTCGGAGACGCGCGCCGCCCCTGGGCCTCTCGTTTACGCTCAGTCTACTTTGTCCTGTGGCGCATCTGAAGTGGAATCCACCCAGACAGCTGCTTAAACCAGACACATCACCCGTTGGACTCTGACGGATCGGGCTCCCGGTGGCACCGAGCTTTCTGGGTTTAGTTCCCATGGTGCCACATGTCCTGAGGACCTGGATGTTATCTGGGTTAATTCTCCTCAGGGCTTTAACTGTGTCTGTGCGTGGTGATGGTCAGCCAGTCAGCCCAGGGCTCTGAAGCTGTTGTTGGTTTGGTCGGTGTGATGTGAAGACCTGTCGCTTTAATAATGAACAACTTCAACATACAAACACTGTGAAGCCATTATTATATTTACACACAGAGGAAGGGTTAAGGCTCCATGTGTGTGTCTGTGTGTCAGCATGTGTGTGTCTGTGTGTAGATGGCGCCATCGGCCTCATCCTCCTGCTGCTGGCCTTGTATCAGGTCAAAGGTCAGATGTCCTCGACCTCAGGGACTCTTCAGCCTGCTCATAACCAAAGGTAAGGAACACCACAGCCTCTGCTCGTTCAGACGTCCTCAGGTCTCAGCAGACCTCAGTAAATGTTTCACCTGAGTAAAACTAAACAGCAGAGTAAACTTCTGACCCAGAGACAATTGATTTCACAGATTTGACCTCAAGGTGGCGCCACAGGGCAGCCCACAGTGCTGGGACAATCTCCCTGATAACCTGTTGATGTCTCACCCAGCCTTGGCTCAGTACTGACCATCCACCTGTTTGCTAACCTGTGTGTGCGCAGCGTGTCTCTTCGCTCTGCTGTTCGGGGTCGTCTGGTCCATCACAGGAAGTGAGTGTTTACCTGGAGGGAACCTGTTCGGCATCGTCATCCTCTTCATCTGCTCGGTGCTCGGAGGGAAGCTGGTGGGAATGATCCAGCTGCCCACCCTGCCCCCCTTCCCTCCTCTACTTGGTACGGCTGATGACCTAATCTGATGTATTATAATCCTAATCTGGATTCATCTGTTCTAACGTACTCCATTTTCTTCTCCTCTGGTCTGGTCTGGTCTCACCCAGACCTGTTCCAGTCTCACTGTGAACCTGATCTTGTATAATCTAACCTTATTGGTGTGGTTTAGTCCAGTAGTCTGGTCTAATCCAGTCTAGAGGTCCTTTCAGACCTGCCCCTCTTCCCAGGAATCTGCCTGCTGTTTCACATAATGTCTGAACAAAGCCCAGAGAAAAGGGATTATTTTAAATTAATGTCTTGTCTAACCCGCTCTACTTTAGTCCAGCCTAAACCAGTCGAGTCAGATAATCCAGTCTAATGTCACCTTGTCCATCTTAAACCAGTTTAATTCACTGGTCTTCAACCAGTCAGATCCTGGGCTGTTGTTACAATTCAGTCAAATTTAATCTGCACTAGTCTTATTTCCTCTTGTTGTGCGTTCTCTTGTTTCTTCTTAATGTATCGCTGTGTGTGTGTGTGTAGGCATGCTGCTGGCAGGTCTAGTGTTGCGTAACGTTCCCTACGTAACTGACGCCATCTTCATCGACACTCACTGGTCTGCAGCGATGAGGAACGTCGCCCTGTCAATCATCCTGACCAGAGCCGGGCTGGGCCTCGACCCCCTGGTACAGACACACTCACATGTCCTGTACACACCTAATGACTGTGCTGATGTACTTAGGCTTGTGTGTGTGTGTGTGTGTGTGTAGGCGTTGCGTCGTCTCAAAGCGGTGTGCGTGCGTGTTGCTGTCGGCCCCTGCGTGGTGGAGGCCTGCGTTGTGGCTGTGGTTTCTCACTTCCTGCTGGGTCTGCCTTGGGTCTGGGGATTTGTCCTGGGGTAACACCAGCCTTCCAGCTGCAGACACCTGCACATCGTTACAGATACATGTGGTTATTTACGTCTGAACACTGTGCCTGTGTGTGTGTGTGTGTGTGTGTGTGTGTGTGTGTGTGTGTGTGTGTGTGTGTGTGTGTGTGCGTGCAGTTTTGTCCTGGCCGCAGTGTCTCCGGCAGTCGTCGTGCCTTCGATGCTCCTCCTGCAGAGAGAAGGATACGGAGTGGAGAAGGTAACTCATCACACTGGACCGATCACAGGTGATGCAGCGCTCTGCCACCAGGGGGAGCAGGGGAGGCCAGTGTAAACACGTAGGCTGATAGAACTGGCTCAGAGGTTGGGAAGGTTAGAAACAGTAGTTATTTAGATTGTTGGGTCTGAACCAGTTTGTAGGGATGGAGGACCAGTAGCAGCAGAGGACTGGTCCTAGCTGTTATGACTGGGGCCACCGAGGGCAGATGGGCTTTAATGTAGAGATGAGCTGAACCTCAAGGGGCCACAGGAATCACCGGTAGGGAACCAAGAAGATATTTTGGTTCTGTAATGTTCTAGTGATCGTATCATGTTCTCCTAACGTCCTGGGCTGTTCAGGGAATCCCCACGCTGCTGATGGCTGCTGGGAGCTTCGATGACATTCTGGCCATAACAGGATTCTCTACCTGCCTGGGAATCGCCTTCTCTACAGGTCAGATGTTCTCCTTCATCCTCTGTGGAGATGACACTCAGTAAAACACGTGATCCGTCACATCAGACCTGGTGAACGTGGCAGTTCTTCTTAAAGTGTTTGTAGTTTTGACCTTCTGTATTTTACTGAGGGTTGGATACATGGACTGTACATGTACTTTTTGTTAGTGCAGAGTTTTTAAATGGATCTGAACCCGACTGGTGACACCAACTGTGTGTTCATGTACTGATACTGTACGAAGTAGTAGTTAGTAGCTGTCCTGTGATGGTCTGTAGTTCTGACAGTCGGTTGTCCAGCTCCGTTATTCTTTTAGTCATAATCCATAATTTAAGATCATAAATTAAATATTTTGGAACCAGGACCTGGTCCAGGATTTGGACCAGGGAACTCCTGAAAAACAGTGTCAGATATTTAATGACCATTTACTCAAAGTGTCAGTGTGTTTACTGTCACATGCACAGTAAGGAAACACGTTTCAATGCCAAACAATAGAAAGTGTAAATATAAAATAAATTACAAATAAAGGCAATTCTAAAAACAAAATATAAATTAAATTAATCGGATTAGTATCAGGGCCACAGAAACTGGATCAGTCCCTCCTATATGCTGTTGGTCCTGCAGGTTCCACGTGGATGAACATACTGAAAGGTCTGCTGGAGGTGGTGGGAGGGGTCGTAGCTGGGCTGATCCTGGGCCTGTTCTTGTGCTGCTTCCCCAGCAAAGACCAGGTTTGGCAGTGTTTTAGATTTACCAGCTCAAATGTTTTGTTTTCTCACATGGTTTTACACTTTCTTCATTCCTGCCTTCCCCTCTTCAGGAGGACCTGGTGTTGAGGAGGACTCTTATGTTGTTGGGTCTGTCCACATTCTCCATCTTCTTCAGTCATGTTATTGGTTTTGCCGGAGCTGGTGGCCTCTGCACGCTGGTGTTGGCCTTCCTGGCTGCTCTGGGATGGAAAACTGACAAGGTACCAATCAGAATCAGTCTAATCTGGATCACACACCTGACTTCAGCAGGTCTGAACTGTTCAGACCACTGAATCTGTTAAACCCAGAGGTATGTATCCTAATGTCCAGGCTCCAGTGGCAGCCATGGTGGGTCAGGCATGGGATGTGTTCCAGCCTCTCCTGTTTGGTCTGATCGGAGCAGAAATCACCATAATGGCCCTCAACCCCAGAACCGTGGGTAAGAACCAAAATTAACAGTCTCATCTGGGTCTGGCCCCACCTGGTCCCATTTTAACCTGGTGCAAGAGCAGCTGAAAGTCCACCACAGGTCACAGGTTCTTAAGCTTTAAACATTTTACAGTCTGTTGATTTCTCCATCTGCCCAGGTCTGGGTCTGGCCTGTCTCAGTCTTGGCCTACTGATCCGTCTGCTCGTTACCTTCCTGCTGGTTCATTTTGGAGGATTCAACCTGAAGGAGAAGCTCTTCATTGCCGTGGCCTGGCTACCTAAAGCAACCGTACAGGTTGGTGAGCACACCACAGCTTACAGTACTCCTAAAACCTCATCGGTGACTATACGAGAACCCCCTAAATGATCTCTAAAACACCCAGAATGTCCTAAATCTAGATTATTATAGTGGATCCCTCCACCCTCCTCAGTGGTGAAGGAAATCTGAGGACCCCCCTAAAACCTTGTCAGTCACCTACATGTGTTCCATGAGTGCAGTAAACGTACGCACTGATGTACGTCACAACTATAGTGTCCTAAAGGACCAAGAGAACCACTGGATCCTTTACGTCACAACTATAGTCTCCTAAAGGACCAAGAGAACCACTGGATTCCTAAGACCACTTCAGTGACCACAGAAACCCCCTAAGCTCAGAACTCCACAGAACAACTTCGTTAGAATCTCAGTAAGCACCAATAAAACCTGGTCACTGACTACGAGAAGCTTAGATGAGAAAGAAAACTCTTAAAACATCTTCAGTCAAAATTAGGACCTAACCATCAGAACCACATCAGACCACTTAAACCTCCTATAACCACCTGTAAACAAAGGGTCTCTACATCTTCCTCAGTGATCACTAGACCCAGCTACATCTACTGAAATCTCAATAACTACAGAAACCTCAAAGGACCAGTCCTTAGAACCACCTCAATGACCCCTAAATCTCTTCTTTAGCCCTTTAATGAGGGCTAAATTGACCCAGTGGACTACCCTTCTTAGTTAGCATTGAAACCCTCAAAGACCAACGACTGGATTGTTTTAATGTCACAATCCAAAGGACCAGGACCATGATTATAACCTCTGAAGATCCCCTGGACCCTCCTCAGTGACCTTGTGTCGGTTCCAGTGGCCTCGCTCATTTGAAATATGTGGATTTTAAATGTGCCCTTCTAACGTGTTCATGTGTATATGTGGATATTAAATGTGCCCTTCTAACGTGTTCATGTATTTGTGCACGGGTCAGGCTGCTATCGGCTCGAAGGCGTTGGACATGGCAAGGGAGGAAGGGGACGATGCCTTAATAAAGTTTGGTTTAGATGTGCTAACGTTAGCCGTCTTAGCCATCCTAACGACGGCTCCCGTCGGAGCGCTGGGTATCGGCCTGGCAGGGCCACGCCTCCTGGCCCAACAGGTCAAAGGTCAGTATGTACACACATTTACACATTTATTTTTCCATGTGATCTGGTCGATTTATAAAAGTCATGTTTGGTTCTTCAGATTTGTAAGAAATAGCTCATATGGTTAATCTTTTTTTAATCTACAGCAGATGAAACTGAGGGCGATGCCACGACTCCAAGCAGTAACGGGATCCGTAAAGAAAAGGACTGCGTGGTCTTTGAGAGCCAGCTCTGAGGCCTCTGATTGGACAAGCTGAAGGAAAGTACACGTGCCACATAGGTGTTAAACTAAATGTAGCTGTAAAACATTTAACTGCATTTCTCACATCTTAACGCTAGCTTTTTACTAGCTACTGTCGTTACGTGAACATTCAGCTATAGACTGTTCACTCTGCTGTACGTGACGCGAAGATTAATGACTGTGTTGCTTGATTGGACGACGTTAGAAGCTCAGTTCCAAATTTAAGTGGGTCAAACCAGGCTAAGCTCAGTGGATCAAATGTATAAAGAAAGATATCGGGTTTAACTAAATTGTTAATATACGAACATTGTTCACCAAATGCCTCTAGTGACCCCTGCTGTTCATCTGCTTCTAAGTGAGGTCTTCTCTTGTTGGTGACGTAGGACATGAGGCGTCCATACGTTTTCTCTTTATGCACTTCTGTATAATTTAACCCCAAGTGAGTTTTCTCACTGGACACTTGGATGTAAATGTGTATTTACAACAACATTCACATGATGTGACGCTCAATAAAAGCTCAGTCAGTAACAAAGTGGCCTCATCATTTAACTATGAACGTCTTTGTACCTTTAGACCAACAGAGTAACTGGGCCGTTGTTGGCCTGTAACTTGTTTAATAGGGACACTGGAAGTCAAATCTATCATTCCCTTCTCCCTCCTCCTATGGGCGGTGTGCACGTCTTCCTCTACCACAGGCACGTAGCACTGCAGAAAGCTCTGATGATGTTCCTGGGATCTATTGGAGCTGCTCTTCCAGTTTAGGAGCCACAGCTCCAAGTGCTCCTGCCAGCACTGGGACCACTTTGGCCTTCCACACCCTCTCCAGTTCCTCTTTGAGGCCCTGGTACCTCTGTGACTCCTAAACAGATCCAACAGATCCCAGGAACAACATCAGCTCTCTGTCCAGGGGACTGCAGTGCTCAAACTGCCAGGCCTCTGGTCGAGGACCCGAGGTGCCCCATATACACAGTATATGTAACGTACTGGGTGTACTACCAGGGCTGTTGATGAAACTGTAACTCAGCATGACACAGTATGATGCAACAGTTGTAGCTACACACAGTAGGAGCTGCATGATGAACTCAGGTCTGGTGTGAAGTTAAACATGATGGTCGTGGAGCAGTTCTGACACCATATGAAAGGTTCTGGTCCTTGGCTCAGTACAAAACCTTGACTGCTTTCAAAGAGCAGGTTCACACACAGGAGGTTCACAGTACTGAAGTACAAAACAAATAGTGAAGAGTAGACTTTAAAGTAACCTGTGAGGGTGGTGAACTCTCATTTTATACATCATATGCTATCACCAAACAAATCGACCTTTGGTTTTGTCAGAAACTGAGCATTTCCTGTTTCACTGGAGCAGCCGACCTCAGCCTCTGCCCTCTTCACACCCCACGTCTCACTGCAGCCATTTTCTAAACACAGAGTTGAACAGGATGTTTAAAGGGCAAACACCAACATTACCACCAGGAAATAACCCCGGCAGCCTAAAGGTGCACACTGACCGAAGCTCAGCTTCACCCCCTCAGATTTACAAACCAGTACTGAAAACTGAGGCTCACTCAGCCTGACACAGGTCGGCTGCTGGTTCAGGCTTTTGTACAACACTTACTTCCCTTCTCACTTCCTGTACCTGCTGAAACACAGCCAGTGACTTAAAATACTGCAGAGGCCGGGAGCCCTCACTAGTTGAGGACAACAAGCATGTGTGAATGAGAAAAGACTAAGTAACCTTTGAAAATGAGAACTAGGACAAAATGCATATATAACACAGTACTGTGGTGTCGTTGGACCAGGCCCTCCCAGCCGAGCAGCTGCCGACCTTCACAGATGAAGAGGCTTTCTCAAACCACAGACGTGCAACTACAGGGCGACGCGGGGCTTGGAAAAACTGAAGTGCATTCTTGGAAACTACAGTACAAAGGAACTGAAACCTCAGCTCGTCTGATCTTTACTGAAGCTGCTTTGTGCAGCTTTATTTCACGACTGGGCGCCAAAACACGAGGCGAGCTTTGTTTTCCTGTTTCCAGATTCATATGAAGGAAGCAAGAGGTGGGTGAAAGATGACAGCCAGCTGAAAACTGCAGCTAGATACCTGCTAATAAATGAACAAGGCATACGAACGTGTTGTGTACTCAGGCTGCTGAATGCACACCCCTCCTCCCTCGTTGTGGTTTAAGAGGATGCACTCACTACATTAGCTGTGAAGCAGTCAGTAAAACTCTGCAGACACCATGAAGGCAGCGCTGCTTTTCCTCTGTAAGTAGACAAAACCAGTTCTTCTCATCAGAAACAGTAACTCAGGTCAACACTTAGACAAATGTATTTTAGTTAGTTTATGAATCTGTGTGTGCTTCAGACAGTCAGAGCTCTGACTGACTGTTGTTTCAGGGTGGCTGATCTACCGGACGTCTGCACACGGCCGTGGTAAGTTTCAAGTCTCGTGTGGGTTTGTTGTTCGTTCTTACTTTGACAACCGTTTTAGGAGCGGGCTTGGGTGGCGATTTAGATTTTTACTGTGCTCTCTAGAATCAAAGACCTTTGTTGAACTGTGTGTTTGCAGCTTGTCATCACCTCTTCCCGTTCATCTATGGATGCTTCTCACAGCCGTCCTCCTCCAGAGGAAGGCGGCTGTGGTGGGTGGTCAACAAGACGTCAGACCTTCTCACCAGAGGCCACTGATGGTTTACCAAGTAGTTAAAGCACAAGCGTCTGGGTCTCAACACGATATCAAACAGACCTGACAGATTTCACTTCAGATCTTCAGGAGGCCTGATAACCGACGTCCTGCTAATAAGGGCATCAGATCTGGACACGTGTCATAAGATAAAACCTTTAATCAGGAATTCTCACTGAGATTGAGGACGTTGTGCAACAGAAAACAAACAGCACCAGAACAGAAACCAGAGACATCACTGGATCGATGTGAAGTGTAAAATGGACCCGTCGACGACACATTCTGTTTAAGTCCCTTGTTGTTCGTTATAGAGGGATCAGGCAGTGTGAGGCAGCCTACGTTCAGTATTTAGATGAGGGGAACGCAAAGCTGTGGTTTACTCTGAGAAGCAAAGTGAGATCCTGAGGCAGATTTCTACAGAAAAGTGATCTAGAGTCTGGGACCAGCTACTGCTTCATATAGTGCACAGCGACGAGCGCGGTATTTATCTGCTGTAATCAAACACAAAGCACAGTGATAAAGGACATCGAGGGGCTTTATGTTGAGTAGTGACGGCCAACTTAGTCATTTTGTGTCCTCAGGACAAAACCACGTCTTAGTCTGACGTTAGAGACCAGTTTTTATCTTTGGTCTTTGTGCCAGCAGGTGGTTAAACTGACAAACCAAACTGAGAAACTTGTATGGACACGTTCAATCTACAGATCATTACAGTCGTGTTTCAGAGCAGTGCGAGCTCTGCCAGTCTTTGTCTTGTGGCAGATAAACCTTGAACCTTAGCGCTGTCGGTCCAGATGCTCTAACAGACCTGTCCCTCTCTGTCTCTCAGCCTCCATCGTGGTCAGTCCCAGCAGGTCTCAGTATTTCGAGTACGACCAGGTCTCCCTGAGCTGTCAGCACTCCAGCTCTGATCCGTGGACGGTGTGGAGATACACCACAACAGGGTCAGTTCACCAGCGCTTTTCACACACTAACAAATCCAACCTACTGTCCATTTTGGTTTGACAGTCACTGTCCAGTCACGTCAGCTTCCGTCCTGCAGTGCGTAGATGTGATGCAGCCTTCATGTGGGGAGGTCAAACCCACCAAGTGTTTTACTGGCTCAAACCTGTTGTTCTGTAGTAGATTAAACATTTTGGTAAACAGATTTTTGGGTTTTATAGTAGATTTAAAATTTTGCTCCTCTCAAATTCTCTGTCACTTTTCTGAAGTTCATCAATAATGAACTTTACACTGCTCTAAATATTTTATCTCTAGCTTTGAAATCTCAAGTAGAAAATTCTGCGTCAGCCAAAACGAATGCAGTCCCACAACTAAAGGCCACGTCATGACGTTACGCAGAGTGACGTGCTACCGATGTGGTGACGGCCAGATGTGAGCTTCAGAAAATCAACGGGGGACGTCACCGAGTGCTCGACCTACTTTTATACTGGGTCAGTGCACAACGAGCATCAGGCTGTGCCGTCATATATCTGCTCTACTGTCTGACCGCCAGCGCTGAACATCTGGTTCCTCGTCTCACAAATGAAAACTAGTAATCAGGGAAAATTGTCAGCAAAGAGAAAAGTTTTCAATGTGCAACTGTAGGACGACCCCCGGATCCCAGCGCGCACTGATGGGAAACAAACCGCAGTTTTATACATGAGGAGCAAATTTAATACCAGAAAATGCAGATGTTTCCTTGTGCATGTGTAAAAGAGCTGTGTGGTGATGTGTTCCCAGGTTGAATCTGTCCCACTGTGGGTCGGACTGGGGCAGCCAGATGTCCTCCACCTGCGACATGAAGACGGTCAAGCCGTCGGACAGCGGAGTGTACTGGTGTGAATCTAGAGAGAGAGAGAGCAGCAACGCCATCAACATCACCGTCACCGGTAACAGAGGTGAAACCACAGCACCACAACCCGCACAGCTCCAACATCTGGCATCATGTTCAGTGTGAACCAGCAGCGGCGACCGTCAGTGCGTCGACGTGGAGAGAGAACACGCACGTGTGATTCACATTAAGGAAGTGAATCTGTGGGTTGTAGATGATTCAGGGCTGAGGAGGCCCAGCCGTTCAGAAACAGGCTGTTCAGGGGCAGGCTGTTCCTAAACAGGCTGGTCAGGGGCACGGTGTTTCCGGGGGGGGCGAGGCTGTTAAAAAGCAGGCTGTTCATAAGCAGGCCGTTCATAAACAAGCCGTTGAGAGGAGGGATGTTCATAAACAGGCCGTTCAGAAACAGGCTGTTCGGGGGAAGGTTGTTCATAAACAGGCCGTTCAGGGGCAGGCTGTTCATAAACAGGCCGTTCATAAACAGGCTGGTTATAAGGAGGCTGTTTATAAGCCA